CTTGATTTGCGGTCCTCCTCAACTTGTCGGTGGCCCCTCCCTGGAAAATTCCTTCCAACAGGATATCCCTCTCCCAGGGGCCCCTCCGATACCCGGACCCTCAGTGGCTCCAGTTAGCCGTTTGGAGGTTGAGCGGGAACGTTTTAAAAAAACGAACACTTTTCTGACCAGGTTATTACTACCATTTTAGCTGCCAGGCGGCCTTCAACAACCCGTATATACGACGCCACTTGGAATAGCTTCTGCAAGTGGTGCCATAGTCTCCAGGTCAACCCGCTTTCACCTCCCATCGCTCAAGTCTTGGAGTTTCTCCAAGAGGGCTTGAGGAAAGGGTTTCTACAAACACCTTGCGGCGTCAGGTCGCAGCTCTCTCAACAGTCATTGCCTGTGATAATCTGGGTTCCCTCTCCCACCACCCTCGTATTCGGGCATTCCTCAGAGGAGCCACCAACTTGTGTCCCCCAATCATACATCGATATCCTACCTGGGATCTTGATAGGGTCCTGATGTCCCTCACTAAACATCCCTTTGAGCCCCTCAGGGAGGCCTCACCCCAGTTCTTAACGTTCAAAGTCGTGTTCCTGGTGGATATTACTTCGCCCGCCGAATATCAGAGCTTGCAGCCTTGTCGGTAAGGAAGGACCTTTGCATCTTCCATGCCGACTGGGTGGTCCTCCGACCGGATCCCACCTTCCTGCCCAAGGTCAACTCGGCCTTCCATAGGGCTCAGGAACTCACACTCCCGAACTTCTGCCCCAATCCCTCTCGGGGAAGGGAGCAGCTTTGGCACACCCTGGACGTTAGGCGGGCCCTATGCGTTTACATTAAACGTACTCAGCCCTTCCGGAGATCAGAATCCTTATTTCTTCCAGCCCAATTCACTAGGCCATAGGGTGTCCCCGTCTACCACCGGCCGCTGGATTAGGGCTACTATTGCCAAGGCCTATTTGTCCCAGGCCCTGCCGGTACCCAGGGGGATCACAGCGCACTCCACCAGAAGTGCAGCCACCTCGGCAGCTTGGGCCACTCAGGCTCCAATTTCCGACATTTGTAGGGCAGCCACTTGGGCATCCCCATCTCCTCTCATTAGACACTATAAGATAGACACGTTTGCCTCGGCGGAGGCTTCGTTTGGTAGACGAGTCCTTCAGCAAGTCTTTAGGGAACCTCAGAGGTTGCAGGGCCAGACGGAGTCCCCCCCGTAGGACAGCCAAGCTTTGGTATATCCCACACACTGGATGATCCGAACGGCTCTCAGGAGAATGGGCGTTGGTTCTTACCTGACACGCCATTTCTCTGAGGCCGTGAGGATCATCCAGCCCCACCCTTTAGATTTGCCGTCTGGTGGGAACTTGTTTCGGCCAATGAACTCTTTAGCATAGGAGGATGGGAGAACGACCTTCCTTCACTCTCGTCTTCGCGCAAACTGGGGAACGCAAGGGAGCCACGTGACGGAGGGCGGAGCGTTCCTCAGTAATTAAGCTCAGCCTACAACGACGCAGACTGGAGCACCTCCCACACACTGGATGATCCTCACGGCCTCAGAGAAATGGCGTGTCAGGTAAGAACCAACGCCCATTTTCTTCCATTCCAGGATGTTAAAAGGGTAACACAAAATATGGATGGTCTGCAAAGACAAAACTAGTTTGCCAGGGCTTGGGGTGAGATTGGGGGAAAGAGCACAGCTCAAAATCTGCAGGAAGCATTGCTAATCAGTTGTGCTTGTCTGATGAGGAAAGGAGTAGGTGCCAAAATCTAATTTTAGTCAATAATTTTATAATGCATTTTTTAAGGAATTTATTCCAGGCTTTGTCTCAATTTTTTTGTCAGCTTTACCAATGCTACATTGCTTTTTTATGTTTAAAAAACTGCTTTTTCAGAATACATACTGGCAGTCCTTGACTTACAACAGTTCATTTAGTAATCATTTGAAATTACAACGGTACTGAAAGAAATGACTTTTTCATACTTATGACCATTGCAGAATCCCCATGGTCACCTGATCAAAATTCAGGTGCTTGGTAACTGACTCATATTTATGACGGTTGCCATGTCACTGGGTCATGTGATCACCTTGTGCAACCTTCTGTCATTGGGGAAGCCAGATTCACTTAACAATCATGTTACTAACTTAACAAGTGCAATGATTAACAACTATGACAAGAAAAATCGTAAAATGGGGCAAAAACTGCCTCACTTAGCAACAGAAATTTTGGACTCTATTGAAGTCCTAAGTTGAGGACTACCTGTATAAGGAAATGTTGGGTTTTCCCAGATCTTATGTATGAGTTTTGTACTCCTAGGGAAGTGAAGTCTATTTCCAAATTGACAGGTAACATTCTACAACCTAGTCTCATGTATGGTATGTTCCCTGAATAGGGCCATTAAAAAACAAGTAAGAGAAAATTTTCTCATTAATCCATTAAGTTGAGGATTAAAGATGATCACAGAATATCTATTGGGTGTTTGGGGACAAGAAGCATCAGAGAGGATAGAATGGAAATTAATTGATTTACGTGTTTACTTATTTATATCCTGCCTTTATTATTTTTACAAATAGCTACAAAGATGGCGAATATGTCCAAGAATCTATCTCCTCCTATTTTCCCCATAACAACTATCTTGTGAGGTGACTTGGGCTGAGAGTGTGACTGGCCCAAGGTCACTCAGCTGGCTTTCATGGTTAAAGCAGGACCAGAACTCACACAGTCTGCCACATTCTAAACTGATGTCTTAACCAATCCTGGAAAAGAGATGTGCCTTGTTATAATGCTGAGCAGGAAGACCACACTACAACAATATGATGCTATTTCTTGCTATATGTATTACAATGGGTAGAATTGCTTTCTGTGATAGTTACTATTTTATTTTATTTATTTTATTTATTTATTTATTTGATTTGCCAATTGTTTACAAGATAATAAGTATAAGTGTATACATAGTTGTGAATACATGAAATGGGTACATATAAGAAAAATAAAAGAAGAATAAGAGAAACAATAGGACAGGGACGGTAGGCACGTTGGTGCGCTTATGCACGCCCCCTTGCGCTTATGCACGCCCCCTTTTTATCTGATATGAATTGTCATTCAGAGTGGAGAGATTATTCTCTATGATCTGGAATTCTTGTGTTCTCTTTCAAAAAGTTTAATTAGTTGACAAAAATTGAGAAAGGACAACTTTTTTAAAGATTTACACTCTATCTGGAGCTGATTCGAGGTAGTCCTCAAATTATAATCAGTCACTTAGCAACTGTTCAAAGTTACAATGGATCCCCCAAAGGTGCTTAAGTCTGGGATTTGAAATTCCGACAACCCTCTCACCCCATCACTAGATCACGTTGTGGTCACTTGGCAACTGGCCTGCATTTATGACTATTGGCAGCATCCCACAGTGATGTGACCACAATTTGCTTTATTTTCTGGAAACTGGTATATACTTCCAGTTTTCTGCAAAAAAAAAGATATTGTGTACAATGGGTTTGCTTAATGAACAACTGCTGCAAAAAATGTAAAATTGGGTTGGTCACGTGGGTGCCTCAAGTTACAACTGTCATAACATGCAACAGAAATTCTGGGTTTCATTGCAATCATAAGTCAAGGACTACTTCTAATCCAACACATTTGGACAACTGCTTAACTTGAAGGAAGGTTGCATTTCAAACTCTGCATTACAAAGTGTGTAAACAAAATGCTAATTTTTCTTTAAAAAAGTTATATTTTTATTCCATTTTGATCATCATAATACTAAACATCAAAGAGGTCTAACATTATATAGGTTAATTATAAACATTGGAGGTAGAAAAGTAATTGCTTAAGAAAAAAAGGGACACTGAGCAACTAGCTACAGAATTTTCCTTTCCTTTATTAAATGTATTTCTCATAGTTTGAGTAAAAATTGTGAATGGTGGGTCTAAGAAAACAAAAGTAGCTTTCAAACTTCGTTATCACAGCAATTTTTTAAATATGAAGTTTGGTTTTTTTAAATAAATGGTCTTAGTTGGTCTTTTTTATGAAAAGAAAGAAGGAAATTTTAGAGGAACTATTTACTTCAATAAATCAATACAAGTAATTTGACATTTTTCAAATATCAAGTATGGAAAAGCAAATTGCTAAACCTTGGTAGAGAGTAAGGCAGATGGCCTTGCAGAAAGTATTGCCAAGGCAAAGGGGGATAAAATCCAGAACAAAGAGATACAATTAGTTTGGAAGCAACTCGGACAGAAATCTGCCTAATTCACTGAAGATGGAGGAAGGGGACAAACCGTCAGAATTTCATTACTATAGCCAATCTAAATGAAATCAATTTTAGCCTTCATGTGGAGTTGAATTCCTGGTCTGGTCTGCCTGATGGGGCTGACAACATGTTATCTTAATCTCCAGAAGGAAAAGCAGGACGTAAATCTGATACATAAATAATGCTACATTTTTAATGTCTTATGAAAATACAGTTACAGGTTGGAGAAGCTTGGCACGCACGATAACCATTATATTTAAGAAAATAAGGCTGTGGTTTTTTTCTTGAAGTTTGGTAGTGGCAAAAAAATATCCAAACTTTCCAAGTGGGTAAACATTAGATTTAAAAGGTTTTAACTGTGTATATGTCCATAAATATGACCCCAGTGCTGCCATGAGGAAAAGAAAAGCACTTGTGAGGAAAGTTGCAAGCCCCTTCTTTTCCTATCACGTTCCTGAGGCCAGTCAATCTTCTGGAGAGGCACAGGGCCGTAGGGATGGCAATTCTCTCTTGAGGTCTTCGGCTGCTGTTACCAGTGATGAATACAGTGCCAAAGTGGTGGGATTGCAGTCATGATCAGTTGACCATGCTTATTCAGAGAAGTGTGCCTCCAGGTGTGTTCATATTCATCTTAAGGCCTTTAAACATAAAAATAGTGATACATTGTGTTTTATACAAGCACCCATGGAGTGTAACGCACTATTATATCTGATGTTCCTATTGAAACTGCCTGTAATCAGTTCTAATGCATGGTTGTTTCCTAGGTGAACGGAAAAGGTTCATTGTGGTGTGTTGATCCAGAATACAAACCAAACCTTGTACAGGCTCTGAAGAAGCAACCATTTCCCTCCACATTTGCATTTTATACCCCACCAGCATCACCACTAAGGTAGGATTTCTTTTTCCAAGCAATACAACCTTGGAGGAAAAGATTTTCCAGATAATATAACTAAAGAGAAGATGGGACCGTTTTTATTTTGACCAGACTGTGATGTAAAGCTGTTTTTCTATATCCTATTTTTTTTTCTTTTTGAAAATTGGAGAACAGCTCATATTCAATGGCAGATCCCATATTTTGTAGGCAGAAATGCATTCCCTGTTCCCAAATGCACTGAGTGTGCTTCCTTCCCCCAAATCAGCATGCCTCAGTCACAGAATACAGGAGACCAGCACTGAACAAGGCAATTTTATATTTTCATCTCAATAGCCAGCCTCTTGTAGTTATTGGAATTTTGTTACTGGGATTTTAAAAAAAGGAATTTAATTGTTTGTGATATCTGAGAGATGTAAAGGACTCTGTATAAGCCAGGTAATGAAGCTTCTTGCTTAGGAGTATAAGTATGTAGAAAAATAATGTTTCATAGAACTTTTGCATTACATAGTTCATTTTTGAACAGGTAATATAAGGAATGAGATTTGAGGCATGGCCCAAATTCCAGTGTAGCGTATGAGCCTGAAAGACCACAGATGGCCTTGTGGAAAAGAGGACAGAGCTACTTTTGCTCCTTGGACTCTGCCCCAACTACCCCTGAGATGTACCAGGCACAGACAATCCCAAAGAAGCTTTGCAGCTCCTCTCAAAGCCATGATGACTTGTAGTGTGGTGATAACCTGGGAGAGAAAAGCTCATATTTCACATGAAATTACAACTGAATAAAATGTTTAAAAAATACAGTTTAAAAATTGACACAATTGCATAAGGCCTTTTAAAGAAAAAAATTCTAAAAATGATGGCATTTCTGAAGAAGTATAAGGATGAGATGATTTTTTTTTTGAAGCACAGGTATGTGAATTTGAAATTCAGACTTATATTCATGTAATAACTGGACAAAAAAGATGAATGAATTTTGTTTTCTGTTCTTAGCAGCATTGTACATTCAGGGAGGCACAGAAATAAAATCTCTGGTACATCGCTTTATATTATTTAGAGTTTTTTTCTACTTTCCAACTTGGCTATCACCAAAAATGCATGTTTGTTACTGTATTAGTTTGCCGTGCCTCGCATTCTTCGTTTTGTGTCATATCTAGCCTCAAAAATAGGTCCCTGAGCCTTTAAATATAGAATGTTGTTTAAAAAATTAATACAATTGATACTTTTATTTTGCTGTCAATGTAATTTTTAAGGTGGCTGCAAGAACATTGAAATAGACTCAGAATGGTAAAATATATGAAAGCAATAGATAAAAAAAATAAGCTGATTATAAAAATTGGGCCAATTAGGAAGTGAAATGAGTAATTTAAAAAGCAGTTTAGAAAAACTTGCAGAAGGCAATTTGAAAGACTTATAAGTCCATTAAAAGAATAGCAGTAGTACTTAGACTTACATACTGCTTCATAGTGCTTTACAGCCCTCTCTAAGCGGTTCACAGAGTCAGCATATTGCCCCCAACAATTTTACCAACTTCGGAAGGACGAGTCAACCTTGGAGCCACTCAGAATCGAATTCCTGGAGTGAGCAGTGAGTTAGCCTGGTTAGTGTAGACTTGAGGGGGGCTCAGATGAACCCTGCCCTAATTTTCCAAAGATAGTGCCAGCCTTTGGGAAGTGCTAGAATGAAAGAAGGCTGGAAGAAAATCAGGTTACCTCACGTTGTTTTGATTCTGGTCCTATTCACCAATGGATGCTTGTTATCCATAAGCAAAGTGATTCATAAGCAAAGAAACGAACTCTTGTGTTAATACATTTAGGAAATTGCCTGAGGCTAAAAGGTTTAAAAGAAAAGATTTAGGGAAAGATGTCCATAACATGGGCTATCTACAAAAGATGTCTCAGTGATAATTGTCCACTGGCCATTAAATTCTGGAGTAGATATTTGAAATGTTGTAAAACAATGCTATTAAAATGAATGAAGTACATAAGGGCTAAAGCTGGAGAGTTTTAAACTTTTAACATCACTTGACTTGCTTCCTCATTGCTCAAAAGCAGGAGGAGGCAATTAATTTTTCCAAGAGGCCACATGAGAAGCTAGGACTGTTGTGAAGGGTGGAAGGCTGAGATGATGCGTAGGCACACACACATATACTTAAATTGAACCCCCCCAAAAAGCAGTCGTCTTCAAAGTAAAAGCAATGCAGCTGTATTACATATGTGGCATACACTTACATTTGATTTCTAATTTCCCATTGACATTGTGTGGGCCAGAAAGGGACAGCCAAAGGGCCACATATGGCCCATGGACCCTAAAATGTCCAGGTCTGCTCTAGGGACTATATAATATTATAGTGCAGGTATACTCCATTCTTGGTCTTCAGAAACTGATGCCAACATAAATTAGCAAGTAATAACTTGAAGATGTAGGCCCAAGTTTCTTAGTGATATCATAGTGTTTCTGGTGAAATAGGGTTTTATTTTTAACTATACACGTGAATTAATACCAAACCAAGAGCTTTTGCGTTGATTAGCTGTAAGTATGCTTTATAGATTAGAAAGCCTTTGAAAATTACACAAGCATCTTGAAGTATGGACTGATCTGAAATAATTACACCACTGCAGGAAGGACAAGCTGTTCCTGGACCCTTCTTCCCCAAATAGTCTTGATCAGGGGTGTCAAACTCGCTTTGTCACAGCATCATCATGTGACGTATCATGACTTTTTCCTCCTTTACTAAACTGGGTGTGGGTGTGGCCAGCGCGTGATGGTGTATCCGGCCCGTGGGCTGCAAGTTTGACAGCCCTGGTCTTGATGAACAGATAATTCTCGATTTACAACAGTTCATTTAGTAACTGTTTGAAATTACAACAGTACTGGAAAAAGTTATAACTGTTTTTCACACTTATGACCATTGCAGCACTCCCATGGTTATGTGATCAAAATTCAGATGCTTGGCAACTGACTTGGGTTTATGACGGTTGCAATGTCCCCGGGGTCATGTGATCACCTTTTGTGACCTCCTGACAAGCAAAGTCAATGGGGAAGGCAGATTCACTTAACAACTACAGAAATTCACTTAACAATAGTTCCAAGAAAGGATGTAAAATGGGAAAAACACACTTAACAACTGTCTCGCTTAGAAACAGGGATTTTGGGATCAATTGTAGTAGTAAGTTGAGGACTACCTGTAGTAGAAATTCTTGCCAGAAAGGCCTTTCTTAAAAGATGCTCATTACAGACTTAATATTTATTGCTTTAAGAAAGTTGTCTTGGGTAGAATAATGTCCTCTCCCTTTAAATGTATGAAGAGATTTTTAAAAATTCATTATGATCCTTACATAGTTCACTTAGTGACTGTTCAAAGTTATAACAGCACTGAAAAAAGTGACTTATGATCCTTTTTCACACTTACAAGCATTGGAGCAATCCCATGGTCATGTGATCACCTTTTGCAACCTGACAAGCAAAATCAATGGAGAAACTAGATTCGCTTAACAACTGTGTTACTAACTTAACACCTGGTGTGTGTGATTTACCTAACAACTGAGGCAAGGAAAGTAAACGGAGCAAAGCTCACTTAACGAATGTCTCAGCAATAGAAATGTTTGGCTCAATTGTGGTCCTCAGTCGATGACAACCTGTACTCCTCTTTCAGCATTACAAAACTTAATTTACTTCATTTACTTTAATTTACTTAAAAGTTTCCAGCTTTGTGCCAGACTGTAATGTCTCATCTGGAATAAAGCTTGAGACAAGATGCAGCAAAAGGCTAAGAGACTTTTAAAAAGCAGTAGCCAGATAAGAGTTCAGAAGACCTGTAAGTAGCTTGTATAAAATCTGCATAATCCAGCATAATCTATTTTGGTGGACAGATAACTTTCTATGATTTTAGATGAATATGTATTTAGATGAACTGCTGTAAGGTTTTAAATTGGAAAATGCTAGAAACTTTGGGATCTTTTCCATACCAGTTAAGTGCTTTACTGAGGAAATAGTGGGCCTACTCTAGTCCAATATTTAGGTATAAGACCAAAACATGACCAGGACGGATCACATATTTAAAATGTTTTGATGAATCATGATTTGGAATGAATAGAGAACTGGCATCTATCTCTAATTGTTGGTTTAGAAATCAATGTGGTATGGTTCATTTGAGAATCCATTTAGAAGTTCCTGGAGTTTGTTATATGCATTTAATTATGTGTATTGAAATCATAATAGCTGAAAATACAATTGGCTCATGTTAATTTTGTCTTCCATAGCATAGACTCTGAATTTTGAGATTTTTCCCCTCTCTTCCAGTGGTTCATCATCTCCTTGCTATTTAACCTCAGTTCGGAAACAATGTCAGGGACGATCTATCAAAGGTAAGCATTTTTTCCTGTTGCTCCTTTACCTATCCTTTGTTAAAAAGTCTGAATTGGTCAGCTCTTCATGATAAGCAGATAGGAAACACATTCTATAAATCTGTCTAGAACTGCACTTTATTGATATAACGGGAATTTGATCACATGAGGAGAAGGAAGAATTTGAACTCAAAGCTTGTACATAGTTGCAAAGCAAGACTTTGGTCACAGCATTTGTACAGATACTAAATGGGAAAACTAAGAGTACTAAGATTGGAAACTTTAGTTTGAAGTTTCAGTGTGGTTTGCCAATGTGGTTTGAAGTTTCAATGTATTATTTGAACTACCTGGGTTCAGAAGTATGGCTAGTTTGTGTTGCCTCAGATCGCTGCATGAGAATAACATCCTGCCGTGAGAAGAAGTCTGGTAGCGGTTAAAAAAAACTATCAACCGATGGAAACTGCCTCACCTTGATATGAAATCAGCCTTTGCAGTGAAAAAAAATGAGAAAAGAAACCAGATCTGCCATTTTAAAAGTTCTATATACGGGTTTCTCATTTGACAGTAGATTAATTGATGAGGTTTTGGTTATATTAATCATTTTCTGATAAATATTCAGAATCAAAGCTTTAAAAGTCTTGTTCTTTAGACAATTGTTTCCAATCCAAATTTCTAGGAATGAATTCTGACTGGTTATTCTATGATAATAATAGTTTCCAGATCAAACTTAATTGAGGTTAATTGACATGGGGAGCTTTTTTCTCTTTTTCTGATTTTCAGATTCAGATATCGATGCTGCTACTGCCATGATGCTCTTGAATACTTCCATTGAACAAGACATTTTAGATTGTAAGTACGATAAATCTGTTTTCAAGGAATATTGTTTTTGTAAATTTATTTTTAACTATACGTTTTTAAAATTAAGAGCTTAAGCAATTGACGGTTTGATAGAAAGATGTTCATTTACAAACTTTAAAAAAAACTTAATTGTTTTTCTACTGAAATAAATAATGGAAATCTGATTGCTTAGCCAAATTCCCAAAGTTCTTAAAAGTTATAGTCTCCCTCAAGTTTTCTTTGACTTCTAGTATAGACATGAAGCTTTCTTGGCAGCTACACAGAAGTTTTATTCCAAAAACACCTTCTCATGTTTTTTTCAATTTCTCAGTTTACTTAGAGCTCTAGTACTTTCACTCATGAGTGATCCTGACCTTGAAAACAACCAAAACTATTTGAAAAAGGGCAACTAAAACAATTCTAGGATTGTTTAAAGGAAACTGGATGGAAGCCATGTAGCATTTTCTGAACACAGGGATGGAGAAAGATTTAAAGCATCTTTTTTTTATACCAGTTACAGCTTTGATGTTACTATTTTTTCCTGGTAGCAGAAGAAGTGTTTTCTTCCCCCTCCTTTTCTTCTTTCATAACCCAGAACTCAGGATCATCCAAGTAATAGGCAGGAGATTTCTGAAAACGGAAAGCCCTTCTCACATAACTTTATTACTTTATGGAATTAGGAGCCACAAGGTATGCAAAGTCCATTACACTTGATAATTTCAGAGGGGATGTTAGAAACATTCATGGAGAACTGTTCTGTTAACAGCATCCTTGTGGAGGTGGTAGGTCCTCAGTTAAAGGCAGTATTGGCATAGATAGCTTATTGCTCTTATTGTCAGTTTACCCAAGGATCTGGTTGCTTTCTGGGAATCGGGATGCTGGATTAGATGCCGGCAACATGTCACCTATGGGACAATTTCATGCACTCTTCAGTTTTACAGGCAACCCTCAACTTACCATTTGCTTAACAATGGTTCAAAATTACAAGGGCCTTGGGAAAAAAAAGTGAGTTACTGTTCAATCTATACTTACACTTTTGACTGTTGCACCACCCTATGATCATGTGAATGCAGTTCAGGTGCTTGGCCACCATCCAAATATTGTCCCTGATAAGATGTTGCTAGAGAGAGAAAGATGGTTGCCCAGCCCTTTGTTAGTTAGATCCACTGGCTCTGTTCTTAAAGATGACATGCATGTCCAGTAAGTGACTTGCTTCCAGACTGAGTAGAATTATTAATACCATGATTAGGTTCAATTTTCGAACAAAATGGTAATGGAACTTGTGAAAATTCATTGAGCACTGAGGAAGGGGTTGAGGGAATTGGGATAGTAAAAGATTCAGTCAGTGCCCCTGGAAACCAGAAAAAGAGGAGCAGAAAATGAAAGAGGGAAAGAAGAGGTCGTGTGTGATGAAGGAGAGAGGGAGATCAATCAAATGACATAGCAACATATTCCCTTACCTGATGTTGTCCATAAACTGAACTTCAATTTCCATAATTTTTCAGGTGGCAGAACTATTATACACACTGCCTGGGGAAGTAGAAGTCCAACACCCTGAGATAATACATTGTGGATTTACATAATGAAAAATATTCCAGAAATGAATGATCTAAAATTTCAGCTAAGAAATAAACACAGGGCAATAAAGGATCTCATTCCTATTTTTTAGCTGGGTTTTAATTGAATCCCTTCCTGATGTCAACTCCTAAAATATTTCTATGGTTGTTTTAGAGTTGCCAACAGAAAGGGAGGGGGGAAAGGGGTTTGAAAGAGCAGTGAGGCAGCTTGGAAATTGAAAGTGCATTCCATACATAGTTTTTCAGAGATAGTAACTAGGTGACTGAAGTTTCTGCCATGCAAAAATCTAACTGGAGAACATGATTGATGACTCTTGGCTATGGATGTGTCTCATTGGAGAATATGAATTATGATACACCCAGGGGGTGGGAGAAAACCAGGGTCGAGTGACAATGAATTATGTGTCTCAGAGTCGGCTACACCCAGGCAGTGCCGGATATGTTAACTCCCAATAAATCCTTTGAAGTTTTGGAATTTTGGTCCGAGACTCATGATTTAATTGGAGTAACTGCTGGAATCCTGACACCTGATGGTTTAAACATGGAAACATGTTTGTCGGACCCATTGTCTCCCTTGAGTTTTCAGAAGATTTTTTGTTGTTTTTTTCCTCAGGTGAAAAGCCACCATCCCTCAAGCTCTCCAAGAAAAGGAAATATGGTAGCACATTCCATAACCACACCCAAGAAGAGAGTGATCCAGCAGTCCCTAACATTGACCCCAAGGAGGACCACAATTACAGCGCCAGCAGTGTGGCTGCACAGCGTTGTGCATCGCTCTCTAGCATGTCTTCCCTGTCCTCTGTCGATGATGTATACAAATTTGTCTCAGAGGCCACCCGGACAGGGAGTGACGGCAGTGAAGGATTTCAGAGTGAAGTGGACACAGATGACAATGAAGATGACGATGACTCTCTGGCAGACAGTGGTTATACCTCACAGCCATGTGTCAGTATCACAGATGAGGCCCAGCCTCATCAGAAGGTCCTGGAGGAACTCTGCCAAGAAATTGATGACGAACTCAAAGAGGCGGCTGGGTCTCTTCTTCATCTTGCTGGGATCAGCACTTGTCTTGGCTCACTAATAAGTACTGCTAAGAGCCATACCCAGAAGAGAAGGAAAAAAAATGATAACACAGTGTGAAGATAATTGATCTATCTGTCTATCTATCAATATCTATATACATGTTTTATTTTTTAGGCTGGCAATATTCCTCCTTTTACCCTTTGCAAGGGAGATCAAAGCCATAAAAGGACTTTTTGTTTGTTCTTAATTTTTGCAGATTATAATTTTGCCATTTATAAAATTTTGTTTTTATTTTTAATGATAAGAGCAATTAATTTGTGCATTGAAGGGCCAACGGAAATTGTGTGAAACGGATGAGGAAGTTTCAATAATTGTAAGGAAATGGAATATTATTATCATTATCAATGATTGATTCACATGGATATCATTGGCTGGGTCATTTTGTGCTAAAGGTGTGTGGCATTTAGGATGAAAACAGAAAATTGGAGGAATCAATTGACCTATTCACAAAGGATTCTTTTTAAAAAAATGTGTATATTGTGGAGAAGAGAATTGCTTGCCATTTTCCAATATGCCTCTTCAGTTTTTAGGCCTACCAGATTTTTGTATGTTGTACTTTTGAATAAGAGGCTAGGTGCAAAGAATTGGATCACACTAAGGAAAAGATCTCTGTCTTTCTAGTTCTGAAGATCAGATACTGAGTGAATGAAATATATTTCATTTATGCAAAAGAGGTGTAAATTATATGATTCTTAGCCCTCAGAATGAGGGGATAAAAATTAAGCAAACAATACATATATATGCCTAATTCCCAGTTGGTGCTTGAATCTGGTAGTCCTAAAAGTATAGAGGTCCATCTGAAATTGGGCAACTAAGCCCCCATTTCTTATTGCTTATGGGGTCCACAGTGTCTCCATTTTTTTTAGCAATATAGAATGCAAAGCAAGACAGTAGACATGTTTTTATAGCCTTTAGCTCTAGCTTCCATTGTTAACTGATTTCCTCAACTTACAAGCCAAGAGTCTGTGATTACATGAATGGTATAAAACTGCCATGATAATCAGTTGCAGGTTGACTGGTGTTTGCAATTATAAAATTGATGGGTAGGGGAGAGATACAACATGTGAATCTTCCTGTTTTTGAGAGTGGGATCTTGAATGGGTAATTAGAATTTTCTTCTTATTTTTAACACAAGGGAAGGAGCTGGTTCTTTCCCTTGTGTTTGTGTTAATTGTAATTATTATATATTGGATCAATGGTATATACATCTGTTTGCAAATCCAAGGCCCTTCTTTCTGTCTTGATATCTAAATTATGTGCAAAAAAGAGTGATTGCTCAATTGCAAATGACCATTGCACAGAGAACTTCAATTTTGTTTAGGTTAAGGTCGCTGATACTTGACTAGTTCTTCATAAGCTAAGAGTTGTCTTGGAGGGCTCTAGCACATCACCTCACAAACCATAATGGAATTATATTCCATATGCAACAGAAATAAGTGCATTGAAAAGTCATTGCTGGCTGAACAATTGTAGACTAATCCTCTCCCCAATTCTTTATGAGTAAAGCTTTTAAAAATTATAATGGGATGATCATGAGAGATTCTTCTTCGTTTTTTTGCAGCAGTAAAGTTCAGCTATGTATCACCTGAGTGAGAACAAGGGCTTTCAGTGGCAGCTCTCTAACAGACTACTTCCTAGCCTACCCTGCAGTTTTCAGTTTTGCTTTGATTTAACCCAGCATTCCTAAAAACAACAGAGGAAGCTTAGAGATAGATACTGTCCACTCCTGGCAGCCTCCATTTTTCTTGGAGATGGGATGGATTTTGTTTATGTTTTATATCTATTATTTCAGCAATAATATAATCTCCCATGTTGAATTCTGAGATAAGTCCAGATGCAGCATGACAGTTGCACAGAACATAATATTTACAATGCCTGGACCATGTAACGTGAGAATTACCTGTTTCTGTGCACTGTATTGGGGAATTCAAATTCTGGAAGTGAATCCAGATGTCATTTATTTGTGTATCCCAGCTGTCTAAAATTGTGGACTTCTGTCTCTCCTGGGCATTTATTCAGAAACAGTTGTGCATCTTCTCAATTCTGGAGGCCATAAGAGAGGACATAGGGCTACTAACACTGCTGTGTTGATTGGATGCTAATACACAGTTGGAATAGGGGCAGTTATTTGCCCTATGGGATAGTTAGTCTGAAGTACAGGGCCAAACTGTATCATCTTTTTTTTTTGTTACCATCAGCCATATTGATGGGTTTGGAGTCATGTGGCAGGCGTTTCTGGTTGGAACAAACAGCACTGAAAACAATGAGCTTAACTCAGAAAAACAGGACGCTCCAAGCTGGCACAACCGTCTTTGGCTGCAATCCATTAATGCAATTCCATTACTTTTCAGTGGTCACTTGCGAAAAAAATGTTTGCATGCTACAGGCTGGGGCTGTTGTGTTCTGTGAATGTCTTGAATGTTGCATAATGATCAAAGCATAACTTGTTTGGAAAGCAGCTTGACAAATGGCATTTCATCCGCACATTTTTTATGCTTTGAGAATGAAAGGGAAGAGAGTCCATTAGTGGCCCTTTAAGCAAATCTGCCTGTTATCTCTCTCTGCATTTTGCATTCTTGTGAGTTGTACATTACATTTCTACTGATGACATAGAGCTGCTTTGACAAAAGTGTCAAAGGTGTAAATGTCTGGGACTTAACTTCACTGCCTGTTCTTGCATACTGTCTCTTTATATCTGCTAAAAACTCTCTCTCTGTAATTTTTGTTCAGTGTTCTGTAGGAGTTCAATGCCTTAGCCAGGTTCCAGTGATCCTAACTGGACTGATTATAAGAGCTCCAGAACTAAGAGGAGCGATTCCCCCCTTGAGGTTTCTTGCAGGCTTGTGTAGAGTTTTAGATTCAAAGGCAAAATGGTCCTTTAGAGCTTATGGGGAAAATAACTTAGCACCTATCTACAATCCCTTAAATCACACTTATCATTTCCTGAGATTTCCCAGCAACTGACAGGTATTTTGAGCTAGGAAAAAAAAGCAGAGAGATGTAGTGTTCATACCCCATATGCTGCAATGTGCTTTTTTGCCTTAGAATGCAAAGCACTGCACAGCCCTACTTTGTTGAATGCTGCTACTGTTACAGCTTCCCTTAATTTGGCAACATCCAGCTGTAGTGTAACTGCAAGTCACAGAATTCCCATGAACAATGGAAATTTTGAGATTTGCAGTCCCAGCACACCCAGGACAGTGCTATTAGAATAATATCAGCAGAGATTCTCCTGGTGTAGGCCTTAAGTTTGTAAGAAATTATGTAGTTTTTAGTATTTCAGAATAATTTTTTTGTTAAAATGATAGCAACCTATAAGTGAGTCAAGCTTGTAATCACATTGTTATTTTATAGACAGAAACAAAAATCTAATGCATGGATGTTTGCACGCTCACCTGTTTGTAGACAACTTTCTTTGATGTCAAGTTTAAACACAAATGGTGCTCATTCTGTATATTGCCTGCTTCAGCTCTTCAATCCAGAAATTCTCATGGATTGGTGAAAAACTGCCTGCTTGCCAGAATCGCTTTTGAAATAACCTGCTGATTAGGTTTTGCTAAGGAAGGAGTTACGTAGGGGTCTACTTCCAACTCTGATAGATTTTGTATAACTTCCTGTTTTTTAATTTCATTAATCAATAATGCGAGTTCCACCACAGCATAGCAATTGAGAATTGGAAAAAGACCTATGGATTAAAAGTTGCTTTCAATATATTGCTTTTATTTGCTGTCAAATAATATTTGCCCCTCTTTGAATAGGGTCTTCCATTGTATGACTGCTACAAAAAATAACTCACAGTGTTATTAGGTTTTACTTTTGTAAGAGATAGCATGTGGAAGTCTAGAATGCCCTGCAAACATGCTAAGTCAGGGTTATTTAAGACTCTTTGAGAAGAGTCTTAAATAACTGCTTGAGAAGTATGATATTTTCTGCCAAAAGGTACCTAAGTTAAATAAAAGAAGCAGTCAGTAAATAGAAAGTGAAATACTGTATAATTGCTTAGTAATTAGGTCGTTACTGGGTAGAATTGATTCTTAGATCAATTCATAGAAAGCAAAATTCTCATCTGACCTTTTGAATGGTTCTAGTCATATATCCTTCCTATGAAATGGGGTTTCTGTGGTAACATGTGGATAAGTGAAGAATATTGTACTACATACATGATCCAGAGCACCTACAGCATGGGGATTTAATATAAAGTCACCATTCACAAATTTATAAGCAAGCCTGTATATTAATTGCCGAGGCACATTTTAAGTCCTGTATGTTGTGCAGAGATGTCCCATTTAACATTTGTCCAAAATGTGTGTTTAATAACTTGCGTGATGTGAAATTTGTTTCCATAGCAATGCAGGTAATATGGTTATAAAGAAATGTGTTTCTTTGGGTCTTATCTCTTGAAAGTTGAGAAGAGTTGAGTTCAGTTCTCAATACAAATTGGCCAGATTTTCATTCTTGAGGCTACTTTCCCTAAGAGCTCCTTTGCTCAGGTTTGTCGTCTTGCATTTGACCTGTTAAAAGTCTGTTTTCAGTCTCTTTTCTCCAGACAAAAGTTGATGTGTACACAATTGTTTTTCATGTCCTCCCATTACGAAAAAGTCTATTGTCACCTCTATGATATAAAATGTATAGTGATTATTAACATTGGTAGCACTTTCCCTGTTGGTCTTCAAGTCCAAAGGCAGAGCAATAAAAGCATTTGGTGAGAACAGATGCTTCAGAAAGGCCAGATTTAAAGAGCTACGATTGTAGATGCTTGCAATCTTAGTTACCTTACATAGCATGACTTTGGGAAATCCTCTGATTGTATAATTTCTGCCTATAAATGGGAAGTAATATATATGCAGCTAGCAAATAGCATATTGGAGAGAGGTTTAGATTTTTCCTCCTTATATGCTTGTTTACTATATGCATGGTGCTTTTTGAGTTGCAAAAATATGATATCTTGCCCCACCCCCCATTTTGAAGAGATCCCAAGCAGGGATTTTACATACATACTTTCTCTAGAATGGGTAGAACAACATGTTGTAATACATTAGATTTGCTTCATCTCTAAATTCATTGTGGAAATTCCATGAAGAAGGGAACTGCCATATCCAAGTTCTTGTGGATATGGGGAAAAGCTGCATTATTATTCTTTTGCCTTTACTAGCCGTATTCACAAAATATGTGTGTCTTCCTATAGCCAAAATTTACACTGAACTTACTGTTCTAATTTTCAAAGAGAAATAAGTATTTTCATATCTTTGCAAGGAAGTCCTCATTTTCTTTGCTTAGGGTTAACTAGCTCTGGTATGTCTAAAGTAGTGGTCCCTAGCCTTTGCAGCTTGGGGGCCCGGCTGGTGGGGGGGGACAGGGATCGCACTGCCACTTGTGTAAGTTGAGCTGCGCGTGCTTGCCTGCCATTCACAAGACCTGGTTGGTGACTCTCAGGTCTAAAACCAGATGGTGCTAGTATATTAGATTAGTAAATTGGGATGCCTTTATTGCAATCATGCATCTCTCTCTCCATTCGGCAAAATGTGTGCACTCTAGGGTCAGCCCAGAACAAATGGGAATGGCCAGGGTTCTGATCAGCAAGTTAGAGATCTATTATTATGAAGTAGCTGTGATGTGGATGGAGCATGTATCCGCACCCTCTGTGGATGTTCAATTCAGAACAGTAGTAGAGTTATCTACTCTTAAGTTTGGTTTCATGAAAGAATAATTCTTGCACATAGAAAGCTAGTAGGCTAGAATCCTTCCTGATGCATTAGCTTCTAAAAGAACCTATGTTGGGTATTTGGAATGACTACAGATATATGAATGGCTTTATACATTTCAGAAGAAAAGGAAATAGGATGATTTAGCACCATTGCATGCATCTCAGGATGTGCTAGATTAGCTGTGCTGGTCCTACAAACTTGTAGTAGTCCTTGTCAGCATTGCTATATCTCTTGGGAGGAAAAAAAAAAGGCTAAGGATGGTTGCAATGATTAATAGCGTGGAACTGATATGTGTGACATGTATTTGCTGCACAGAGAACATCTCTAGCCCAGCCACTCTATGCCCTATTAACATATGGAATCAGTTGCTCTTGGTCAGGCTGCATTGATGCATTCTATATTGTTGTCTGCTACCTGTGAGGAAGTGTGTGCAGATCGTGGCCCTTGGCCAGTGATTGTATACATCATAGTCAGGAGAAGCACACATGGACATGCTTTGTTTTAGATGCAAAGTATAATCTTACCTTTAATTTTTTTTAAAGTAAATTCCTTTCAGAAAATTAGTTTAGCTTCAGGGAAAAAAGAGATGATAATGGAATATTATCTGATCCTCTTCAACTCTTAAAAATTAGCATGCAGAGCTTCCTGCGGGAGACCCACCTGTTCTTAAGGTATAAGCTGATGCCAGTATTGTGCAAATCTTTCATATACTGGAGCTAAATTATAGCTTCTGTGAGAAGTGCAGGCAACCTTCCTTAGAAAAGCCCAACTTTGAATTGGAACAGTTTGCAGCTTCTTTATTTGGCTAAAGCAAATACGACAGTAAAGCAAAGCACACCCTGCAATGCTAATGATGGGGTAGTCAAAATATTTATTGAAAAAGAGGAATAGAGTATTTTTTAAAAACTTGTACCTGCCATTTATTTGAAAAAGCACATTCTTCACAGTTTAACTGCCAGTGCCAAGAAAAGATTTGTTTTTAGAAGTGTATTTTTTTCAGATTTAAAGGGTATAATTTAAAAGTATTACATTGCCATTTTGTAGTGATAGACCATTTACAATTGCCAATTCACTGTAACTATTTATTAAAAATGGAAATTGTAAGAATGCTTTCAGATCAAAGTAAGCAAAATTCTTTTTTTTTAAACCTACATTAGCTGTTTTTCTCCATCACCTGCCCCTGCAACTTCTTGGATTGACTGAGACTAACTCTGCCAGTAGATAACCCCTTTCTAACTTGAAATCCCTTGAGCCCCGTTTAGTAGTTGACCTGATTTAAAAATGTTTTTGTATGCTAACCTCTATTAATTAAAATGTTGATGGAGTTTATTTTTACCAAAGAGATGCAATTCATTATGATAAAATATTTCAAAATAAACTTTGTTTTATAACACTTTGGAGTAATGGCTTTCTTTGCCTTTTGGATAATACAGCAAAACTTATATTTTACATTTTCCATAGAAAGGGAACACCATTTGATGTGGTGATTAAGGTTCTAGGCTAGTAACCAGGAGGCTGTGAAGTCCTTGAGGTGGGGGGACCCACCTGGGTGACCTTGGGCCAGTCATTCTCTCTCCCAAAAGAAACAGGCAATGGCAAACCAATTTTGAAATCTTGTCCAGAAAATGGCAGGGGCTTTTCAAGGCAGTTGCCGGGAGTCAACAATCACTCAGAGGGACAAAAAAGAAAAGAAACCCTTACCAAAAAAATTTGGGGTGGGGTAAGTGGACTGGAGTTTCCAAGTTTTGCATACTAGTATTAGCTACTGTGTGATGACACCCATATGGGAAGTAATTCTTGGTTGCGTGCTTTTTGACACTTCACTTTTCGCTGTCATTTGTTCTGTTCTTGCAGTTACTAAAAAGCTACTCTTCACTTGCATGCAGACATAAAAAGTTACGATTCTAATTTCATGTATATAGGAAATGTGTTTCCCTCTAAAACTTGTTTCAATAATATAAAAGACAGTTTGGAGGGGACAGGTGCTGGAAAAACATCTGGTGATTTCTTCATGGTTTCAATTGTCATTCAAGGGTTCACTTCATGTTTTTCCTGCAATATTCTGAAATTCCATTACAAATACTAAACTCAATGTTTTGTGCTGCTGCTTTTGTTTCTCATGTTGAGGAACACAGGATTGTCATGAGAATAAAACGATGAGACCTCAGAAAGTTAGATTAATACTGGAAGCCTTCAGAGTTTTATTACATTTGTTGACATGGTTAATTCAGCTGGCTGCTTCAGATTACAGTATGCATGTACACATGAAGCATTTAGCAATGATTAGAGCATTGATTTAGAACTGGGAAATAAGTTCAAATCAGCCCAGTCATCCACCTTGCAAAGTGATTTTTGGGCTGGTAATTTACACTTAGCTTATCCTACTCTACAAGTTTGCTGCTAAGATAATTAAAATGGGTGGACTAAGATCTATATTCAGCACTTCAAATTTCTGAAGGAAAGATGAGATATAAATACATGTTTAAAGGCAATGATGGTCATTTAAACGTTTTTAGTAATGTAGTGGCATTGCCCCCGTTCTTAAGCCATATGCTTTTCTAGTCCCTTTCCTTTGAGATCCTTATAAATTGAGATATTGGTGATCAACACTGCAACATTCACACGAAAGGAGAATGCTCAGCTGTTGAGCAACATGGAAAGCCAGTTATAATTTGCTTTCACATCCAGTCCAATTACTTGACTACATGTACATTTAATGAAAACTTAAGTTGTATAAACCAGCTTCTCAACATCAACTTGCCGCCAATGTCTTACTTTTAAGTGAAGTGGGATTTTAGAAGACAAGAGGTAGTTTATAGATAGGTTCATGACTATCCTAAATAATATAGAAGCTTGTAGAAGAGCCTTCCTCAATCTGGTCCCTTGCAGTTTTGTTGTACTTTAACTCCCATAATTCAGCAGCATTTTTCTATAAGAAATAAAGTTCATCACATCTGAAAAATTCCAGATTGAGAAAAAAGATGTTTTAAAAGTTGGGGGGGGGGGGGGGGGGAATATGTATATTAAATATTTATATTCTGCAAGAGAGGAGTCTGTGTCTATGTCTGTTTTGCATAATTTTAATCCCTAATATGTGGTACAACTTGATTCGAGGAGTAAAGAGTACTTGTACGGCTTTGCCTCCATATATATTGCTTCCCTTCACATACATTTGTAGAGGACTTGTATTCATTCAAAAATGTCCTTGAAACGTGGAAACAAATTGGATGTCTGAAAAATATTCTTTCACTATCTATACTTTTCTTATGTAACCAATAATAGTTGGTAACTACTCACTCACCTTTCTTTCTACAGATTCTCTT